AACCAAATACTTGAGTTATTTTCTTCCAAGGAAACTCCCTCCTTCTTTTTTTTGTGAAAGTAAAATGAGTATTTGACTGGGTAAATTCCCTTAATATAAAGTACAATTATCAATGCCCGCTGGCCCCATTAGACAATTTATATGCAAACTTCAGACGGCTAGACATTCAATGCTAATGAATGCCAACACGCACCAATAAAGCAGCGAAAATTCATTGGTAAAAAAAACTGAAACAAAAAAGAAACATTAACAACAATTGAATAAAGTGAAAAACGGCAAGAACAACAAATAAAGGTAATACAAAGTTCAAACGCCATCACTCCTAGGGCCCTGTGCCAGAAGGTGAGCATCCAAAATGGACAATAAATAAAATTGCTGGTCTGGAATTGGGTGCTAAAGCAAACCACTTTAATGTTTAAATATTTCAAAGGGTAGGTGGTTGATCGAGGGGTATATCCATTTCAAGGAATCAAATTACCAAATTTGGGGTGAGAAAATCAATTACTGAACTTAGGCAGGGGAATGTGGAATGTTTAAAATGTTTTTCATTCGAAATTTAAAATCTTTTTAACATTTTTAAAACATTTTACAAAGTATTTTGTAGAATAAAGGTTTTGCATTTTAATTTTATTTTTATTTTCCGTGATTTAACAGTGTGAACAAATATCATTAATGTAATCAGTGTGGCCGTTCTCAACTTTATATGGCATATTTTAGGGGATAATCCCCATAATACATTATATTCCTTTTATAACTAAGAATTAACTATCAATAGGTACCCCATCGTCGTATCACTACTTTCCAGTAAGAAAATTAATTTTTTGTATATTATTTTTATGCCTCACTCAGGTAATTTTTCCGGCCGAGAGGAGTCTAACAATGCCAAATCTTTCGACATATCCATAAATTAACCTTCAACCTTAAAGCATTCCCCAAAAAAGCACAACTTTTAGCATGAACTGGACAGTCGGAACAAGAAATTCCAAGGAAAATGCGCCACGCGTTGGAATTCCCAAAAGGAAACCACGGCAAAATCTCAAGAGATTCACTATACTGTATATGCGTATTGTTTTTGGGGACGATGAGTGGGTGTTGGGTGTTTCGCCGTGAATTGGGTATTCTTATGTACACAGACATCTGCCGAAAACCTCGAAAATTGTTTATTGTTTACTCTTTGCACTCAGCGCCCTGTTGAAAACCAGTCCAGTCGTATCAGCGATGCGGGAGTGGATGGAGATGCTAAGTGTTTCGCAGAAGAACAAACAAGTTATTTATTTAACTGCTACCGGAAAAATATCACCAATCCCACGCAAAATGTTTTCAATTTTCATAAATATATTGCTTGTCTTGAAGTGTTAGAAGTTTACTAATTAAAAACTGACCATTAGAGTGGACAATATCCAATCAAAAGCTTGCTTTTAGGTTACCATAACAACACGAGCTTAGTTGGCCTGGCAATACCCCTTTCTGTCATCCGTATGCGATTCAAGTGAAAAATCCTCTTTATTCCTTTCAATGGCGTCGTTGAGGGGATTGATTACAAGCAATCAAAGATAAAAAGCAGAAAGCGAGATCAAAACAACTGAAAGGGAAGTGCCATTAAAGTTAAAGTTTTTGCTGAGCAACTTGAACTTTTTAGTAAGTTGAGAAAATACTTTTTGGAAAATATATATCGATTGATAAAGAAGAAAGAATTTTTATAATGAAATGAAATTTATTCAGAAGGAGTTATTATATTTTTTATATAAGTTGTTGGGGAAAATATAAACTTTTTAAGTGTTTTTCTGTAAAAACTATACCCGAAAATATATTTATTATGGTTATTAATGGTCAAGAGAAAATTATTTAAAAAAATAACAAGAATATTTATGTTGTAAATTCTTGTATTTGAAAACAGAGATGCTCTACAAACTTAAATAAATATTAAAAATATTGTTTTAAATAATAAAATTGATCCAAAACCTTGTCCTTAGCCTAATTAAGCCCAACGAAGTCCCTAAAACCCAATAAGGCATTTAATTTCTGCCAATTTCATTGATATTCTAAAAGACAGCTTACTTAATTACTTGTCAAACAATTTCCTACAATTTATGCAATGCAATATTTCTGAGCATCAAAACTGATTACTCACTGGCTGGCGTTCCCCTAGTTTTTGGCAAGTTAAATGACACAGCAGGAAGCCGCCTAATGAGACAAATCCCTTCGATGCCCTTTGTTCTGGGGAAAATGTGGAAAGCCGATGACGGAAACCAATCATTGAACCTGAACGAAAAGTTAAGGTCCTTGTGGCCTTTCTAATTAACTCCTATCCTACTACCTACTACAAACATCCATTTTGGCCCTCTGATGTCTTGATGTCTTATGGCCCAAATTTAAGGCACATAAATTGGGATTTATTTTGGGAGGCTGGGCCCCGAAAAGAGAGAATGACTTTTGTTTAAGTACCAGCAGCATTCAAGCATTATTTATTTAATTTAGACTATGCCTCTGGTAATTTGAGATAATGAAGTCACGAGATGGACATAAGAAAAAGATGAAGCTATACATTCGTGGCCAGGGCTGGAACTTTATGCAATATTAAAATCCCACATGGCGTGTGGCCGTAAGGCTCGACTTATTAAAAAACACCCAGCGGAGATGTCACCTCATGCTGGTGTCTCCAGGATATGCGAAGCTGACGCCATTGTGTGTGTTTGGTAAAAAGGAATCCCATTTTCTATTTCCAAATTGTCTCTTTTCCTTTCTTATTTTTTTTTTTTTTTGGGAATTTTTCATCCACGTTTAATTTATTCTTTTATGTCCAGAGCGTGTTGCTTTGATGTGCCCACAATGGTGGCGCCACAAATTCACATTCGCAATAAATACAACTTAAGCATTCCACAAGCATGAGAACGCTTGATGTATCCTCTCCCAGTTGAGAGTGTGGCTTATCTTTTTTTTGCTTTTTTTTGGGTTGGGTTTTTGGGTAATGGTTAATGCGGTGGGGCATCAATTTCCTATTGTGGTTGGATTTCCGCCTGCAGATTGATATTTCGTGTACGCCTGAGTTCGCATTTGGCACACAACTTGGTCAAGTATATATATGTATATATAGTCGAAACCTAACCGAAGGCATCTTCCATTTCCCCTAAGGAGTTCATAAATTATGCATATGATCAATTAAATACAGAACATTTAACAGCAGGCGAGAGCGAGAATTTTGTGGTCAGGGACCAGTTGGTACGCCTTTTGGGTCTTCGTAAAGAGTTTGCCTTCGTTTGTTTGGCGTTTTTTTGGACCTATTTTGAGCAATAACCTTTTTCTTATTTTTATCTTAGAGACAAATTGATGACAAAGCTAATTAATGAAACCTTTTTTTCAGGCACTTTTATCTTTGAAATTGCTTAAAATATGATTTGGCTTACGAAAGCTTTTTGCTGGTTTTTAAATACTCTTTTTCAGGATTTTAATAACTTTATTTTTTATAACTATAAAAATATAATTAAAGTATATAATATAGCATTCTTAAAAAAAACTTTAATTTAGGGGTCTTGTTTACTCAAAAAGTTTTCAAAATATTTAACATTTTTGTTATTTTTCTTAACTTTCTTTTATTTTATAAAAAGGTCAATAAAATCGCTAACCATACTTCATATAACTTTATTTTTATATAATTTTTATCTTTTTATATATACTTCTAAAGAATGTATTAAAATAATTTAAGCTTTACATGCACCATAAACTGCATATTTTTTTACCAAGTATTTTCATAAAAAAGTTTCCAAATCTAGCATATTTATTTAAGCAAATACTTAAAAAAAAACAAAATATTTCCATAAAAGCTTTCCTAGAAATCCTTTCAGACAAACATAACATTTTTCCACGAACAACATTCGTGTTTTTTCATTCATTTCAAACCCATTCAATGGTTCAATACAAGTTTTTTTTTAATTTCTAATGAATTGTGTAAAAACTGTTACGCAATTTAAAAGACCAACATAGTTATGAAAACATTTCACGACATTTTTTTAACATAGCCTTTGGGTTTCTAAAACAAAGCAGAAAAAGTTTCAATTAAACGGAGAAATGCATAATTTATCACAATATTTATCTCTTTTTGTGGCCTACCTTTACTTTCCCAATTGTACACCTCAGCAAATTTATGTTGAAGGGTCAAAATAAAACCCATTTGTCATGCAACTGAACCCTTTTTATTGGCCAACCAAAAAGTGGCCAAAACAAAAAGTTCCACGAAACCAATTACGGCGGTCATTTTTTGACAAATGGGTCGAAGATATTAATTAGATACGCCGAAATTGATCAATCGAGTAAAATGAGAGATTTCTGGTATCTGACATCAAAAAGCAATTTGGTGTGGTTTTGCATTTAAAGGAAATAATGTAAAGTATTTGTTTTTAATTATGAGTAGTGGAAAATTCTAGGGAAATGAGACTAAATTAAAGTAAAAATAATAAATAATGAAAATTAATATTTGTTGATCTGAAAAATACTTAGAACTTCAACTTGATGATAAACAATCAAGTTTACATTTTATATATTCAAGGATAAGTTCCTACTGATTACTAAATTTTAGATAATTACTGCATTTTAATTCTTAGAATTTGAATCTTAAACATTAAAATAAGTGTTTAATTAAGCAAGAAAGTTTACTTTTCGTTTATTGCGATTAATTATCATTTATCAATTATTAAGCTAAAAATTTATTTTCAAAAATATTTTTCTTATTTTTCAAAACTGTTTGGTAATTTGATTATTTTTACCACAAATTCTTTCCATTTATTAAGTTTTGTAGTTTTGGTTGATATTATATTTATCACCAATCATAGTTCATTTCTCAAAAGCAAAGTCTTTTTTATTTTTTCCTCGCTATTTTAATTTGGAAAGCCACACACGCTTTCAAATTCTTCATTTAATACTAATTGCTTTTGTTTTTGCACATAAATTAATATAAATGATTTTTAAATTTGGTGATAATTGAACATTATTTTCATGGCACTCACATTTGCGTTTTATTTCCTTTGTTTGTTTTATTTTGTTTGGAATGAGTTTGTGTTTACATTTCAGCACTTAAATCACTTTTGTTTTTGAAAATACAGTTTTTAAAAGTTTTTATTAATTAATTTTTTATCTTTTTATTTTTTATATATTTTTATTTATTTTTTTTAAGATTTTTAAACAATTTCGTTTAGCAAGCCGCTTGATTTGATCCGCATTTTGATCCTTTCATTTCGATTTCCCGACAGCGAGTGAAATTCCGATGGGGGCGAATGCTGATTTGGCGCCAAAGTGTTCGGCACTTCGAATTTCCCCTCCCTTCCAGCTTCCAGTTTTCGAACTCATTTTCGAACTGGAACTGGAAGAGCCTTCTAGCCGGCAAACGGCGCCTGCGCCATGAATACAAATTTGTAAACAAAGACCAGCTGTTCGTCGGGAAAATACACATATTAATTTTCATTGACGATGGAATATATAGTATATATAGATATAGTTGGGGGTATGGGGTTATGCTGAGCATAAGGATGAGTGATGCGATTAGAGTGAGCTCGTGTGCGGCTCTAATAAATATCAATGATTTGTGAAATATCTCTCTGAAAGGGAAAAGGGAAAAAAAGAAACCGCTTTTTATTGAAAGTCGTTGAACCAAATCGTATATCTTTTCATATGGAATTAAATTGCAGGGGGTTTTGGGGGGTGTGAAGGAACGGTAAACGAGGCTCAAGGCCACGCCTTTTACTTGTCACCCCGACTGAGAACTCTCACAGCTGTCAGGCATGCATATACATATACCCATCCACTTGACATCTCCAATGTTTTTCTCTTGTTATTTTTTGTTTATGTATGATTTTCCACCAGCCTTTAATTTCCTTTGACACCGCTTCATTACAGCCCTTCGACTCCGGGCGTTGCGAGGCGTTACAGTTTGAACAGCTTTTGACTGGGCCAACACATCACAGCGTCTACCTCAAACGAAACGGAAACCATAATGTCTGTCTCATCGCCTTGGATACCTTCATTTGTTCCAAGGCTGAGGTGAAACCCAAACGTTTAGTCCACGTGTGGCTGGGTATTAATTAAGGGGAACATCTTTAAAAATTTGATTTAAAAAAAATTTAACTTGACTAAAAATCTCTTTATTTCTGTAAGGGGTTAATATCACTTAATGAGGTTTTAGAGCAGCTGGACTATTGCTTTTAACTTTTATAAATGCTTTTTTACATACATTTTTTAGCAAGCGTATTCAGAAAGATAATTCATGGCTCTAGAAAGCTTTACTCTTTTGCATAAAACATATTCTGTATATTCAAAATGTTTTGGATTTGTAATTAAATTTGGAATTTTTAGTATAGTATAATTTAAATAACATAAAGTTTATTTTTCTGGAAAAATACATAAGTTCGCCCTATTTTAATTTTTATATATTTTATTATTATTTTTATAAGAAGTAAACAATAAAATAATGCGAATGGAAACTTTTATGACTAAGAAATGAGACGTTTTCATACTAAGGAAAACATCTTTTAATGGCTAAAACCCTCTGTAAATTTTAATAATATTTTAGTCTTTGTGTGTACTTTTTTTATGAAAATTAATCAAATTTTTAAAAAACGCAATATTTTCAAATTATTAGTAGCTGAATGGGATAGTTGAAGGAAAATTAATGAATTTCTTAAAAAAATATTTTAACTTTAATAAAAAAAAAACGCTTTCGAAATATATAACTAGATGATAATATTAAATTGTAATTGAAGTTTAAAATATTCGTCAGGAATTTTGCAAGTAAATACATATTTTAGTCGAAAAAATTAATGTTGCATACTTTTAGTCTCCAGAAAGATATCCATCACACTTATCAGCCATGTGGATAAACTAATGAATTATAACGAATAAACCAGATAAAAACAGGCGGTCTTATTATAGGAGCTATCAAGTCACTTTAAGCCAAAGTATTAACCCTTATCTAAGGCTACTACAATTGACAGTTAAGCTCTGGCCACACACAATATTGTGGTTCAATGATAAGGTTAAATCTCTTAAGTAACTTAAGCGTTCTCTTTGTTTCTCTTACAGAGAGCAAAAGAAAAAAATGTAAACACAAAAGTTGAAAGACTAGAATTGAATTGAAGTAAAAAGCAGAGCGAATTGAAAGCTAGCTGCGTTGCTCTTACAAGCTCATACATGCGCTGAAAGAGAGCTCATTTTGAGAGCTCATAGAGAGTGGGAATCTATATCGCTCTCTCTTTTGGGGTCTTGGGGGCCTAACGGATTTTCGCTGGCTCTGTTTGTCCGTGAACGCCGACGTCGAAGCACGTTTCTCGTTTTTTTCGCGAGCTTCTCGCCAAAAAATTCTCGGTAAATGCGCAAAAAAGCCAGCAACAAAAATACAAATCAAATCAAATCGCATGGTGAATACATGTCCGTTTTATTAATAGAAAATCCGCAACAGCCATATAACGCATATAATTCGAAAGAAAAATATATAAAAATATATATATATATATACAAATTAAAGTGAGACCCATCAATGATATATATATATAAATATATATAGTTGATAAGCACGTTGACTTGTTTTTTCTGAAAGAATTTGCCGCGCGCGCGAATTAGTTTCGAATATTGCGTATACGCAGTGTCTAACGAAAAATTCAACCTACCACAACAAAAAGAAAGAAAGAAAGAAAGAAACCAACAAAACGGGGAACAACACACACACACACGGCATATCAAAGCAGCAGATTTTACACAGCGATCAGAAGAGGATATAACTATATGGATTTATATAGCAGATTTATATAGCAATCAAGGTTAGAGAGACTTTGGAAGGATAGCAGCGATGCCAGCCAGCGGGTTGCAATCTCCACCGGGTCGACAGGCAAACGGCATATCAGGATAATAATAATAATAATAATAATAAATATAATAATAATACCAGGGACTTGGACATCATGGCTCCTCTATTTGTCTAGTTGGCAAATACCAGCGAACCGGGGAACCAGGCCACACTTACACACACTCACTCACACTTGCACACACCCTTAGACAAACAAGGACGTTTGTCATTGTGTGCGTCAAGGACGCTGACACACGTACATGTCAGTCGTAGTCGTTGTCATCGTCGTTGCTGTTGTTGTTGTTGTTATTTTGCCATACATACATAGCGTGGCAAGTGGGCGTGCCATCGGGGGCAGGCTCTGATTAAATATACATCAGTCAAGCGCAAGGATCCTAATTTCCAGCAGTTGTTCCATGCAAAAAGGACACGGGACAAGGTACTCGGAAAAGCACCAAAATAAAACAAAATAGAACGAGAAACGGAAAACCGGACACCAACTTTTGAGCAAGAAAGAAAATGGCGCGACGCAAGGGCAGCGGTCGAGGCAGTAAGTAGAAATTCTTGTTAATTATTTAAATCAAACGTTGAGCGGGAAAATATGACAAGGGAAATTCCAAGAATTTGCCAGGAATTTTCGATTTCAACTGAAGAGCTGTTTGGCTGCTTTGTTAACTTTTCATGAAGCTGAAAGCAAATGGGAAAAGACAATCTCAATGATAGACAAGTCTTGGCTAGGGTGTCTATTTATGAGTTTATTTAAAAGAAAATATTTAAGATTTTGAAATGTGTCTTCTTCATTATCTAGTTTTTATTTTAAGAACTTAACATCTTCATAATATTAAGCCCAAGCTTTGGCTTTAAAAAATAACCTCGAAATATGATTTCTGTATACAGCTATTTAGGCAATAAAGCCATCAAGCTTGCACTTCTTAAATCTCAAAATAAACAGTTTTTAGTAAAACTACACTTAAACCTCCAAATTACCCTTTTTTGGTAACCTTTAGCTTAGAAGCTACTTTCTGATGGTAAGAGCACATTAAAACTTACCAATATAAAATGTATATAGGCTTAAGTTACAACATCATTTAAGTTTTTCCATAAATCTCACCATTAATAACAGGTTTCACATATTCAGAAAACTAATTTTTTCCTTTTTAACATATTTTTCAAATTTAAATTGAAAAACTAAGTCTAAAAATCTTCAACACATCCAAAACCAAACCTTAGATCTTACCAGAACCCAGACAAAACCTCAAGGACGTCGAGTCTCACAGCTGCCATATGGCTGGCTTTTCTCTGCGCCCCCCCTTCAAAGCCAAAGAATCTCGTCAAGTGCACAGATTTCTGTTTCGTGTCTCAAAGGAGGAAAATATATAATTAAGGAAATAGTATTCAGCCACGCCCCCACTTCACAAACCTTTGGCTGTATCTATAAGATACATTTTTTTGCATTATTATTTGTGCTATGAGTGTTTCATTCGCGCGAGAGAGACAGAGAGAGAGAGAGAGGGAAGGCATGCATAAAACATGAAACAACAGCGTCAGTAGTCACTTTTCATTGCATTGCGCCCATGAAAAACCACCCACAACCCAGCAGCACCACCAACAACCCTCCCCACCGTTATCATTTCATTTCAGTTGCGTTGGCGCGCGCGCTGCAAAATGTTGGGGATTCCCTTACGTAATCCCCCAGCGCACACAAAAGGCAAACAAACAGACAAACAAACAAACACACACATACACACACACTTACTCGGGCAGCTCGACAACTCGGCAACGGCAAACAAAACAAAAACACAAAGAGAAAAAGAGGCAAAAGCCAGAAACGGAAAAACAGAAAGTAGGGGGCAACACAAAAAAAGAAAACAGAGAAAACGAAGGAAAAACAGAGGCAAACAAGGCAGCTTGTTTGCCAGCCAGTCGGAATCGCCCCATGTAAAATGGCCTGAAAATCAAGCTCAGCCAGCGTCATGAACTTTTGGCGCTGCTCACCCGCTCAACAGGCAGCTCACAGATACAAAGATATACTCAGATACAAAGATATACACACACACACACAGAGAGATACTCGACATCCACAGTCGACGAGTCACAATCGCAGATACTTTGGCTCACGTCACGCGGCCTGTTAGTCAAGTTACTCTGTGCTCTGTGGCGTTACTCATGCCACAGTTTGAACCTATTAAAAGAAAAGCCAGATACTTTGTTGTACTTGCACTTGCAACGCACCCTTCTCCCTTCTCTCTTGCTCCATCTTATCATCTTCCTCGTACTCTCAGATACTTTTGCCAAATGAGATACAAGTGCGCTCCCTAGCTTTTGATATATGCCAAGTATTCCTCGTCGGGCGGATACAGTGCGCATTCCTAGATCTTGATGCCTCTTTAAAGGGAAATTGTTAGTGCTGTGGAGGAAATATATATGGATTAATACTTACTTATTTAAATGAATTAAATATTAGTGATTTTTTTATATATTTTCTTTAATAATTCAAAAAGAAATTTGGAAGAGAGAAGTATACAAAAATAAATAAAATTCTTTATCAAAAAATTTATTTCTTACATATCAAATTCTAAGATCCTTTAAGATAACAATCACGTATCCTGTAGAAGTATATGTTTAAGGTAAAGAATGAAGAATTTTATTTTATTTAACATTCTTAATTTTTAAAAACTTAAACTGTTATAGAGTTTGCCTTTTACAGCTTTTTTGAGACACAAAAATAGGATTTTAAATCTGCATTTCCTCTTATTCCTATTTCCTAAAATTTTAACAAATTAAAACACAATGTAACTCTCTAAAGAGGGAGTAAGTAATCATAGTAGATTGAAAAATATAAATCAAAAGTACTAAGTACTAAGTAACTTGCCTCCTAGACCATAACATCCACTGTCTCAGGCGCAACATGTTCAAAGAGCCGGAGTCTCACTTGGCTACGCCTTGAGTTCAAGCAGCCGATGGGTTTTGGTTTTTGGTTTGGGGACGGAAATGGTTATGGGTAAGGGGTGCGGTAAGGGGTATAGTATGAAGAATGGTAGGGGGCATAGTAAGGGGTATTAGAGTATGGGTTTTCAGTTTGAGCTTTGAGGTTGGAGGAGTTGGGCTGAAAACACTTAAGCTGGCTTTGGCTTTGTCTTTGACTTTGCCTTTGAGTTTGCCTTTGCCATTGGGTTGCCAGTGACTTCGCCTTCGTAATCTCTTTTCGCCTTCGTCTAACAACGTCAAAATTAAAATAGACTTTGGCTCTTTGGGTTCTCGGTACTGTGTATTCGCATTTTCCCATTTCCCATTTCCCATTGCCTTTTGCCTTTGCCTTGGCTGTGTGTGCCATTGTGCGGATAATTTATGGCGTGGGGCTTAAGGGGAGTTGAAGTTGAGATTGGGTGGGGGGAGGGTGTTTTCGAGGAAATCCCACCCACTCCCCTGCGGCCAGCATTTCCCCGGACTTTTATTTCAACGTATTTTCATTCCATCGCTACCTTTGTTTCTGTTTCCCTTTGGCAACTTTGCTTTTGGCCCGTTTCGCATTCCATTTCCATTTCGAATGGTAAAAGAAAAG